TTTCCAAGTTTCAGATTCTTCTTCTGTTGGTTTTATAGATAATGTGCAGGTTTTTTTTTTTTTTTTAAGCTATGCTTAGCAAGAGGAGTGGGATTAGGTGGATCTACTCTTAATGCATTCACCCCATCTGGAATCTCTTGGTGCTGTACCAAAATTTAGGCAGGTGATGGCAGAGAGGGAGCCACGGGATTTGGAGCCCATGGACTGACGTTAGTGTATGCACTCCTGCTTTCCATGCTAATGACCTTGGTTAGGTCACTTAATCACCTTGAGCCTCCATTTACTTACCAGGAATGGAAGTACAGTGATAATACCAAATTTATAGGTTTTTATGGGAATGAAATGAGCTGCTAAATCTGTAATAACTTCTCAAACCATTAAGTTCCACACAGATGTGAGTTATTTAAATAAGAACCAGCATGGAAAGGGAGGGAAGTGAAGACAGGGTGTCTGGAAAAGATAAGCGGGTTCAATTTTTCACAGTTTGGTTCTTGTAACTCTCCTACAAACTTGCAAAGATCTGTTAATGAATTGCTTCTCTCTTTCCAACTCCAAGACAGTTCTCTGGAACAGGTGGATGTTACTTTACTTGGGAAGAGACCATTCAATTTAGGATCTCAGAGGGAGGTGTTGATCCTGGATTACCCAGGTAAGTCCTAAATTCAATCCATGTATTCTTTAAAAAAAAATTTTTTTTAATAAAAGTTTTAGTTGTAGATGGACATAGTACCTTTACTTTCTAATTTATTTATGTGGTGCTGAGGATCAAACCCAGTGCCCTACGCATGTGAGGCAAACCACTGAGCCACAAACCCATCCCTCCGCGTGCTCTTTTAAGAGGGAGTTTTGAGGGAGACAGGCACAGAGGAGAAGGTCAGGTGAGACAGAGCAGACAGACATGTAGCCCCAAGCCACGGAATGACAATGGTCACTGGAGATGGGTAGAAACAAGGAATGCATTCTCCCCCTGGAAGGAATTGACCCCTTCAGACTGCTGGTGGAATTCCAGTTGTTTTCAACCACCACATTAGTGCTAATCTGTTGTGGCAGCCCCAGGGAACTAGTATAGGAAGCTTACCGACATCTAGTCCAACCCCTTCACCTAATGGATGCGGAAATGGGTGAAAAGGAGGGAAATAATCAAAGTTGGCGATTGGCTTAGTAAATCAGGACCATAATTTTAGTCTCTCACTTCCTAGTCCAGTAAAGCACGTGGTTCATGTCTTTTCTTCCAATCTTTATTGGGACACAGTTTGTGTGCCGTATAATCCACCTGTTTGAAGCAGACAGTTGAGTGGTTTTTTTTTTTTAGCATATCCAGGGAGGTTTTCAAATATTACTAAAATCACATCTCAGAATATTTTCACCACCCCCTTTCCCCCAAAGAAACCCGTATCAGTAGCAGTTTTATCTGTGGTTGTTTGTTTGTTTGTTTCGGGGTACTGATCTGTCTCCCCAAACAGATGGGACTTCTAAATTCCTTCTCTTCTGTATCCCTCTCTCATTATGAAGTCCAGTGCTTCATTGGAGACTGTGGTTCGACTGGCAAACCCACTTTGGATGAGGAGTTCATAATCCCTTACGCTGTGTTTGAGGCGTCCTGGGCGGAGCTCTGGACCTGGTGTTTCATGTCCAGGTTCGATTGCTGACCCGAAGGAAAGGGCCGTGCCACTCATTAGCCCGTCACCATCACTGACCGAGATATCAAGCTGAATTGTCTTTATTTCTTTTTTAAAGTGGCAGGGCCCAGAAACTGAGTCCCGTTGAAAGGCCAGGGAGCTTGAGCTCCCTCTAGGATCCCCAAGGCAAACCCCACGGGTAGCTGACCACTCCATGGAAGGAGTGTTCACCACGGACTGGACCTGCTTCTGTGGGTGACTTGGATCACAGTGTCTCGAAGGCTGCATAGAATAAATCAATGAAGCATGGTATTGGGGGAACATCTTCTCTACATTCCTGGTGTTTCCTTTCTTGGAGCAGAAACCCTATTAAACCAGAACTCCTGGCCTCTCTCCATGCAGGCGTCACTCTGTCCTTGGGGTTTGGAAAGCACACACTTTCATGTTTCCTTTCTGTTAAGGTTCTCAGGAGCATGTCTCCATGAGGGAGATGCCTATGGTTTTCCATGGATTGTTATGATGATGTGGGTAAATCTAGTCTCAAGCTTCCCTATTGGAAAGGCCACTGTGGCCGCCCACCTAACCCATACCTTCCAGTGTGGTCTCTGTCCATCGTAAAGGTGAGTTCTGCTGTCTGCCTCATGGCCCTGTCTCGACACTGCCTGGAGATGAGACTACATTACATATTCAGGTGGGGAAAAGGGCGACGTCATGTACTGATGCTTAAATTCCAAGCACTTGGTCTCCCACAGACTGAGTCTTCTCACCTAGGCCAAGACCACAGAGTCTCAGGAGCTTCCAGCTCCTTATGTCTCTTGTGCCCTGAGACCATTGAGTTTAAATTTCTAATGTGGAAGAGAGAAATTCAAATTACCAAGCCTCCATGAGGATGCTCTCCTGGCGCTTTGACATGTTAGTTTATTTATAACAGCAGCCCTGGGAGACAGTAATAACCAGAATGTATTGCATTCTTTCTTTCTTTACACCAGCAACCAGGCTAAGTGCTTTACCTCCATCGGCTTACTTTATCCCCTTAGGTAACTGAGGCTCAACGAAATTGAATAAATTGCTGGAGGTCATGGAGAAATTCGTTTTAGAACCAAGCATTTAATTTAAGATTAAAAAAAAAATTCAACACAAGTCTGTTTTCCAGAATGCTCTTTTTATTGTGGTGCTGTTCTTTTCTTCCTTTTCCTTCCTTCTTTCAGTGTTTCTTTTTTTTCTTTTTGCAATACAGGGGATTGAATTCCAGGGTGAGGCAGGGGCGCTCTACCACTGAGCTACATCCCCATCCCTTTTTATTTTTATTTTGAGACAGGGTCTCACTAAGTTGCGTACGCTGGCCTTGAACTTGAGCCTCCAGAGTTGCTGGGATTACACGCAGGCACCACAGCACCTACTTACATAATAATTTTCTCATGTCTTAGAAACCTGGAGTAATGGGCTGGGGATATAGCTCAGTGGAAGAGCACCTACCTAGCATGAATGCTCAAGGCCCTGCGTTTGTTTAATCCTTAGTTTAAAAAACTAGAGTAATGGGGCTGGGGATGTGGCTCAAGTGGTAGCGCGCTCGCCTGGCATGTGTGCGGCCAGGGTTCGATCCTCAGCACCACATACAAAGATGTTGTATCCACCGATAACTAAAAAATAAATGTTAAAATTCTAAAAAAAGAAAAAAACTAGAGTAATTAACTTTTTTTAATAATTTTTAAGGTAAAAAAATAAAATCATACATATGTAAGGCATAGAAAATGTTTGATGTATATGTTTATATATAAATAATTACTACAGTCAAGCAAATTTACACATTAATTTCCTCACATAATTTTCCTTTTAGTGTAAGAGTACCTGAAATCAATTCTCGTAGCAAATTCCCAGCACAGTGTGTGCTGTAATTAGTTATTGTTAGTTATCTGTGTGTGTGTGTGGGGGGGCAGGGTATTGAGGACTGAACCTAGGGGTGCTCTACCACTAAGCTACATCCCTAACCCTTCAAAATTTTTTGTTTTAAGACAGGCTCTCACTAAATTACCCAGGCTGGCCTCAAACTTGTGATCCTCCTGCCTCAGCCAACCAAAAAGCTGGTATTCCAAGCGTGTACCATTATTCTTCACTGTCGGTTTATCTTTCATCAGCAAAAAACTCGTTCTTAGGGGCTTGTAATGCCTTCCTGATGACCTGTCAAGTTTTCATTCAAGGGGAAAACTTGACTCCTATGCACCTATTTGCATCCCTATCTTTCCCTTTTCTTGAAGAGTTCCTTCTTCCCGGGACACCTCTCTTCTTGTTCTTCAACTTCTTTCAACTTCTCCAACACAATGGGTCTCCTGCAGGAAGTTCCTGCTGTCAGAGCTGCTACTTTCTGATCACTCTAAATCAATGTTAAAGTTGTTCATTTGTTCTTTTATTAATTCATTTATTTATCATCTATCCCAAAGCATTTATTGAGCATCCAGTTTGCAAAAAACACATATCCTTTGGAGCTCTGGGAGAAGCAATCATAAACAAGAGATAAAATTTTGGAGAACTTACATAACAATACATATGGTAGGGATAGGCAGAAGCAAGGACCATCCTGTGATCCTTTCCTAATAGAATCATGCTTGAGGAATAAAAGAGGAAAACAAATATGTAGAGAATGCTACTTTTCAAAATTATTGCCAGCTATGCATAATATCTCAGAATGTTCCTCTTTCCAACTATGTTCTGAACCCCATCTTTTTTTGGTCTAAAGTGTTGTTTTCTCTTCCTCAAACTGGGTTTATTTATTTACTTTTTTCACTTTTAATGGTTTTACTGGTGCACTTCAATTCCACCTATGTATATGTATTTCTTTCTGATAGCTATTTCTCCTCAGAATAGAGATGATGATGATGATGATAATGATAATAATTTTAGCACTTGTTATATGTCAGACAGATACCATATGTGGGAACTAATGTAATGTTCCTACCCCAAGATGTCCATATCGCAATCCTCAGGTCCTGTGCATATGTTGCCTTATATGGTAAAAGACTTTTCAGCTCTGATTAAATAAAGGATCTTGATATAAGGAAATTATCTTGGATTATCTGAGCAGACCCAATGCAATCACAAGTGTCCTTATAAGAGTCAGACAGAAGGCAATGTATCACCAGAGGCAGAGGTGGGGAGAATGAGGAAGATGTTCAGCTTTGATTTTGACTACCAAGGAAAGGACTTGAGCCAAGGAGCAAACCTTTAGAAGCTGGAAAAAGGTAAGGAATTCTTCTCTAGAGCCTCCGAAAGGAACTCAGCCCTGCCAACCTGTCTGTCAACCTATTTTATGACGTCTGGTATCCGGAACTGTAAGGTAGTAAATTAGTATAAAGTCACTAAATTTGTAGTAATCTGTTATAGCAACCACAGGAAACTAATACACCCTAATGCCTCTCTTATCCAAAAGACAAAACTATAAAAGATAGCTTTTATTAGGTGTTCTCTTTCCTTCTCCATCTGTTTAGATATGAGGTGTCCCCCCCAAAACTCCTGTTAATACAGGAACATTCAGAGGCAAATGATTAGATTATGAGCATTGACATAATCAGTCTATGCTAGTCTGAATGGATTGGGGGGTAAATGTAGGCAGGTGGGGCATGGCGGGAGGGTGTACATGACTGGGGTGTGCCCTGGCAGAGCCAATCTTCCCTGTGGCCCCTCCCTCTCTCTTTCCTTTTCTGCTTCCTGACCCTGCTACCATAAGCTGAGCCGCTTTCCTCCATCAGGCCCTTCCCTCATGATGTGATGCTTCATCTTGGGTTCAGAGAAACGGAGTCGGCCGTCTGGATGAGATCCCTGAAACCATGGGTCCCAAGTAAACTTTCCCTCCTCCGAGTTATTCTTGTCAGCTGTTTTGGGCACGGCCATGCAAGAGTTAAGCCAAACACCATCAAGGTCAAGCTCCTTAAAAAGTTCTGTCTCCACCACTTCCCTCCCACTTAACCTCACTGGGATCTCGGTTCCACCCCTGCTTTTCAACCAGGGTTTCCCAGGGCCAACAACTTCTTCACCCCAAATATCTGAATGCTTTCCAGATTTTACCTGGACATATTAGAACTGACCAGTTCCTCTTCCTTGACACCCTTTGATTCCCCTCAGCATCAGGGATTTCATGCCTGCGGCTCCCGCCCATCACACTCAGGCTCGTCCTCAGTCTCTTCCCATTCAGATCTTCTTCTATCCTCTATTTCTAGAACCGACTGAGAGTCATGCCAGAGTCTCTTTTCCCTGACTTCCTGCACTCAGTTTGGATGCCCTGTCCATTTCACATCCGGAATTCCCCTCAAATACCCTCCTCCTCATCTCAATTGCTCCTTGTTGGCTTAAGTTTTCATTCCCTGGTCCTCATCAGGTTTTGCCTAGATCACCACAATAGTTTCCCAATTGGTCCTCTCACCTCTAGTGGTCTTGTGCCCTTGTAATCCATGCTGCTCAATGTTAATAGAGTAATACGCGTAACCAAATTAGACTCCTTCACGCCTCAAAATCCATCATGCGTCTCTGTACCCTATGAGATAAACTCTTACTGGACTTTTTCTTCTTCTTCTTCTTCTTTTTTTTTTGGTATTGGGTTTTGAAGCCAGGGACACTCTATATCCCAGACTTTTTGATTTTTGATTTTGAGACAGGGTCTCACTAAATTCTTGAGGCTAGCCTTAAACTTGCTCTCCTTCTATCTTAGCTTCCTCAGTGGCTGGAATTATTAGGCCATGCACCATGATACCAGGCTTGATTCAGGCTTTTAATCAACTGGAAAAGGGTTGTAAATAAAAGAGCAAAAAAGTTTAGGGCAATATGGTATTCTTGGCTTCCTCATAATTTTCTTTTTGACAAATGCTTACAGTGTTGATCAAATAAAACTGACTTATAAATTTATAAGTGCAGATTCACTTTAGCTATTTCAACGATTTCCTGCATACATAATCTGGTATAGGAAGTGAATATAGAGAGCAACGTTCTCAGGAAGGTGGGACAGTGGGGACAGTGGTGTAGCAACAGGACCCCTTTCCAAACCACAGAGATCTCCCTCTTTCCCAAAGCCATAGACACAATTTACTCACATATTTGGTCAATAAACACATGTATTTAGTCAGCAAATATCAAGTGCTTTCTGGGTGTGAGGACTGTGGGTACACAGATGAACAAAACTGACTCACATTGACTTGCCCCTTGTGGGGCTTAGGGAGAAGTTAGACTAACAAGAGCCATTTAGAATATAATTGGTGAGTGCTCTGATGAGGGAGACACAGGGTGCGGGGAGAGGTGGGGGTTGGAAGCAATAGATTAATCAGGTTGGTCTCCTGTTTTAAGTTTGGCAGCACCAGGACTTCTTTCTGATAATGATGTCGTTTATGCTGAGACCAAGTATCAAGTAGTTCTGTCTCCCATTGCTGTGTGACCCCACAGAAGGGAGACACTGGGAGAAGTTGTCACTTCCAGATAGGAAGACCAGGGGCTCTGTTTGGGATACTATGGCATCAAGAACCATCCCCTCACCCTGGGCGAGGGCATGCCCTCTGAAGGGTAAAGGATATAAGAATGGTTGGGAACACTGAGATTGGACTTCACAGGTGCAGTCTAATCAGGTCCTGCCTGGTCCACCTTTACCCCACTAAGCTCATTTTTTTCTAATATGCACCACAGTGTTGTGTTTTCCTTGTCCTGGAGTGCAGAGTTTACTGTCCATCCTGTTAGGAGGCTATTTCAATGTCTTTTCAGTTTCGGAGTGAATTGGCTGTTTCATTGTGCAATGGCTCCATTGGTCTGCAGGTGACAGGTCTTGGTAAAGCCTATGTTATCCCAGACAGTGCACTTGTTGTACACAGATTGGTCAGTGAAGGATATTCCTTGGTCAGAATAAGGTACATGGGGCATCCAAAAACATGACACAAATTGTCTCTAAAGGACAGCTCTGCTAGTTCCAGCATCTATATGAGTGACATATAGTTTTTTCTTTCCAGGAGGCAAGCTGATATCATATTTCTTTTTCCTATAAGAGGATCCCCTAATGATTCAATCATTTAGTTGCCATTTTCCTGAGTTGTTAGCAATATCCCACGAGCTGGTGAGAATAGAATGAGCTATGATGGTAGAGGTCACCTGGATGCTCATCACCACTACGTGTAGTTTGGAATATCGGGTAGAATGTCCACATTTAGTGTCAGTCAAAAAAATGACCATTCTGAGACTGGAAGGCAGCCCCAGGCTTGTGGCTCCTATCTGTTATTTTGCAGAACCTTTAGTAAACAGTGTGCCACGGTTTTGGCTATGGTTTCAGGATATGCCCTAAAGTTCATGTGCTGGAGTCCATGGTCCCCAGTGTGGTGGTACTGAGGTGAGGAAACCTTTAAAAGATGGGGCCTAGTGAAAGGTAATTAGGTTATTGGGGCACCATCCTCTGAAGGGATTGGTGCTGGCCTTCAAGGGTGAATTGGTTCTAATTAGAATGGGCTGTTATAAAGCAAGTTCAGCTGTCTTAGCTCTTTTCTTCCTGTCTTGCCAGGTGATCTCTTCCATATATACTCTCACCCTGTAATGCCATCTTCCACAAAGTCCTCACCAGAGGTGAGCCGATGCTAGGACCATGCCCTTAAACCTTCAGAGCAGTGAGCTAAATTAACATGTTTTATTTATAAAATACAAACTTCCGGAATTTTGCCTTTATTTATTTATTTATTTATTTATTTTTTAGATGAGGTCTCACTGAGCTTAAACTGGTGATTCTCTAGCCTCGGTTTCGTGAATAGCTGGGATTATAGGAATGCACCACCATGCCTGGTAGGTTTTCTGCGATAGCAATATCAAACAGGTGAACACATCATGCCAACATGCACATCTCTGAGTATTGGGCTCCAGGGAGCAACAGGAGGAGCCAAGTATCCCCTATGTGTTGCTTGGTCCCTTCTGACAAGCCAGCCATTTGTTTATAGAGCCTACCAGTCCCCTTGGGAGTCTTGACTGAGTCCAAGGCTGAATGCATATTTCCATCTCTTGCATGCAGAGTTCCATTGAGAACTGAGCTGTGTTGAGATTGCTCAAGATTATTTGTGGGGTTTGACAGTGCCCAAGTTAGAATGGGCAGTTCAGGCAGTAGTGTCACCTGAGGTATTCTGGCCATCAGATGCCCAGTACCCATTGGTGCCCAACAGCAAGCAAGAAGCTGTCATTCAAAAGAATCATATCTAGCAACTGTCTTAGCAACCTGTGTGCCCAAAATACGAGAGGCTGGTGCACCCCAGTGGAAGTTTCTGTTGCGACTGAATCCAATCAGCAGGCAAAGGGGTTTGTAGGCACCTGTACCTCCTTTGAGCTGGCAGGTTCTAAAGATTCCAAAGGGGACTGACCCATTAGGTGTTGAATGGCCTCCCAGCCCTGCTACTGCTGCGAAGGGCCCTATTCAAAGTTGGTGACTTTGTTATTCACCTTAATTAAGGGGGTTGGGTAAATTCTGCCAAATTCAGACCCAAAGATCCTAACTAGTTGTCTAGCCTCCTTTTTTATTGGTGGGTGATGCCGGGGTTTACATGTTTTGCTTGACTGTCTGTGCAATACGTTTTTGACTTCTAGCTCACATGATGTTGGCATTCGGCTTGAGAGAGTCAGTTGTCAGTCTCCATGCCCCGAAGACCTCTTTGACCAGTGGCAACTGAGCAACATTGCAACAGGGAGTAGTTTCTAACAGTTTGATCTGTACCAACTTTTGAATTAGCCAAATGTCCTATTTTTCATTGAATATGTAGCACTGCTTTTGTTCAGTAACCCAGTGGGGCCTGGCTGGTAGGCAGGAGTGGACATGTCCTTTTGTTATGGCTTGAATTCTCATCTGTGAGAACATACTCCTTCAGGTGGCAGTGATGCCGTGGGCCACAAGTGGTCAAAACACCAATAGCCGTAAGTACTCTGTGGTGGGAACCACGGTCTCTGGAGCCCAAAGTGGCTCATTGGGCCCTGCCCACAAGCAGATAAGCACCACAGGTGGTTGTGTTTATCTCTAAACTTCCTGATTTCATCAATTTAATTTTCCCCCAGAAATATTTTCATATGAGTTCCAGTACACAAGAGCCCCAGGAAAGTCTGAATTGAGTCCCTTTCTTTCCCTTTTTATCTTGATGGATAGATTAGGGCGTTGACTTCTAGAGGGGACCTAGGACTTTGGCATCATTTCCAATTGCACCATTCAGCCTGAGACATTTGAGTCAGTAGTGTCCCTTTATCAAACAAACACACAGCCAGCCTGCACACCAGTTGGGATGTATGAGACTCTCTGGCTTCTTCCATATCCATCCTTTAGATAGGTTCCCACGGTGGAGGTCCACACTCCATGCATTGGTTTTTCTCAGGTGTCCCAGGGACTGTTTTGAGTCCTCTTTCTCCATCTCTGTCATGTGCCTCAGAGTCCATATGTTCCTGCCGTGTGAGCTTTCTAGTCTCAGAATAAGCAGTCACATAAGTACCCAACAAATTGTGTGCCTCACTTCTCTGTTTCCACATTCTGTTCTCCCTGCCTCAGTCCTTGCAGCCAACCCATCCATATCTGTGGGGTTTGGGATACAGGAGGTAACCTGTGTCCTACCTATCACGATTCTTTCCCCATGCCTCATCCAGCCGCATGACCGGTCTGTGCTCCCAGACTAAAGTTTCCATCCTGGGTTGGGTACGGGGAGGTACTTTCCCTTCCACTTCACTAGAAAGCCTTCATACTCATAGCACCAATTTTGTGAAGCAGGCTCATTAATGACCAATTCCAAGGGAGGGCTCCCACCGCGTGGAGGATAGCTACCACTAGAGGTGTGTGTAGGAGACTGAACACTTCCAACCTCTGCAACCTGGGCTGCAGTGTTACTCATGCCTGTGCCTGGCGAGACAGAACACACTCATGTGCACTAAGCTATGTGAACCAGGCTTATTACTTATAACAGGCAGCAAGGGACAAAAGAAGACTTTCCATTGGGGCTGGTCCTCCAAGTTTCAAAAAAAGCTGCCTGATGCGGAGGAAGTCTTGCCTGTGCATGTCCTACTTGCACCACTGCTGGGGAACCTTGAAAGGCAGCCCTCCCCACCCCAGGATTATACACCTCAAAGGCAATGTGACTCACTGGGCAAAGCTCTGAAGGACATCCAGAGGGGAAAGAACAAATCCTGGGCTGTCTGGGGAAGTTCCTCCCTAGCCCGAAATGTTCCATTCCCTAGGAAGGGCAGGAATGAGGCCTGGTCTGCTTCAGGCCCTTCTTCCCTATCCCAGGATACTCCCTTCCTAGCACATTCTAATTATTCTTGAGAACTCCAAAAAAAGAAGGGCGATTCGGTTTGACCCAAGGATACCTGGAGAACTGTCTTGTACTAACATTCTAGAGGTGTCCTTAAGAGGTGGACGGTCATTTCTGCTACCCTAAACCACACCCCAGTCTCCAACCTCTTCCTCCCCGGGATGCAAACAGAAAGTGGTATGGACATGAAAAGAGAAAGAGCATTTATGAAGTCATGTGTCCCCAGCCAAAGGATCAAGGGCTGTGCCTTTTGTCCTTAAAGTGAGAGGTTTTCAAGATAATCACTCACAGAAATTGGTGAACTGTCAAGAAGAGACTAACATCTCAATTTCCAGATATCTGCTAACAAGCTTGTGGATTTGTTCTTTGTGATCACTGGAGCAGGGAGAGAAGGCTGACAGGGAAAGAGCCATCATTCTGACCATTTGAGTTAGCAAGCATATAGGAGTCAAACGAACAGTGTTGAAATAAGTGTGAGTTTCCTGTGAATCAGATGAAGGTCCAGTTAACTCAACAGGACTTGAGCTAGCTTGGTGGTTTTTCTCCCAGGAGAACTGGCAACTAAGCCAGGGACCTAGCTAAACTGCCAAGGGCAGAAATTGAGTGACTGTGGGAAACAGTTAAGCTTGATAGTATTTCCTATCAGGAGTCTGTACACCGGAAAGACGTCCCAGGAAACTAACCCATGTGCCCATGAGAACTAGCATTTGGGGAACTTACCAACAGAGGGTAGTCATAATCTCCAGTCAGCCTCCACCTGTGGGCAGAGACCAACAGATGATTGCAATTACATGCCCAATTAGGCAAAAGAATGTTTTTGCCCTCACTCTCATTTTCTCTAGTTCTTCTTCTCAGGCTCATCACAGCAAGTCATTTAGAGAAAAAAAGATTTCTATTACATGACACAATATGCCACTTCCCCAAACAAAGGAGTGAGGTTGAAATTTTTAAAGTGTTCAACATCAGACTGAACTTCTAATAACTAAACAGAAAATGACAGAGTCTCTCGGGACGGGAAGGGAAGACCTAAGAGTGTAATGGAAGGCACCAGTTAAAAAACAACTCAAGATTATAGTCAGGAAAGTTCAGGATATTCCTTATATTGTTTGTAAATATCCCAAAATACCTGGGAACAAGAGGCAGTCTGGTGTGCTAAAGAAATCGATAATACTTGAAAATGACTGGAACACAGAGGGAGGGAAGGAAGGCCAGGGAAATAGGAAGAGGTCAGGATTTTATTCTCAGGCAAGGAGAAGTCTTGAAATGTTTTAATGATCAAACATCCATCTTATACTGATCCAACGGGGGATGTGGTGGGGCCTCGAGACAGGGAACTCATTGAAGCAAAGTGATCCGTAAATAGCCATATGATAAGAAACGTGGAAAAATTATAGGTTGTGGGAAACTGCAGACTGATACTGGTTTGAGAGAAAAGCCAAAGCATCTTCTCCTTCCAGTTGTTACTCCAAACACTGTTCAATTTCCAATTTCTGCTGAGATTTTTGATTCTCTGGAGCGCTGTGCTTAGGCAGGCAGACTGACCTAGAAACTGCTGCCCCACGGGGACACAGACGGCTGTGGGCCCAGCAGAACCACTTCCACAGACCCATCTCAGCAGCAAGAGGACGCTCGCAGCAGCTCCAAACACCAGAGATAGGCGGCCGCCCTTTCAAAGTGCGCATGCGTCTTACATCAACTTCGCTTGACAAGGTGAGGAAGTGCGCATGTGTTATACGCCGGAGGACCGCCCCGGCGAAAGTGGCGGCGTACGCATGTGCAGCAGACCCAAGGCCCGCCCCGGAAGAGGAGGGGCGAGGCCGCTTTCTCAGTGGAGTCGGCCGGACTTCTACGTCCGCCTGGCAAACCTGCGTTGTGCTTGCGGAACGTAGGCCGCCACACATCCGATGTCACTCTAAACGTTGCACCGTCGGCGTCCCCGAGGGTCACAAGACTCGCGGGACCAGAAGCGCCGACTGGCCGAGGCCCTTGACTAAGTCCTGGGCTAGTGAACAGCGGAAGGGGTTGGGCCGCTTGGCCTGCGCGGGGAGCCCGTGGGCGTGGTGGTTCTGGGCGCCGCAACCGGGTTTGCAGACTGGGCTGTGAGGCCAGTCGGAGGTGTCTCGGGGAAGTTGCGTGCACAGAGCAGCGTGGCCTAGCAGCGCGGTTGTGGTTTTGTTTAGCTGTTTCTCTTTCCGGTCAGACTTGACCCTGGTCACGCCTTCAAGGATGCTTAGTTCCTTAGTAACTTTGACCTCCCCTATTAGAAGACTCCCTGTCGCTCAAGGACCCGCTTCATTAACCCAGACTGGCTCTTGCTCGTCTTAAGTACCCTACCTCCCTCTTCCTCACACGCAGTCCGCAGTGTTTTCATGCTTCTTTCCTTTTTTTTTTTTTTCCTGGCAGAGACCCTTTAATACTATGTCCTGACCCAGGAGTCACGTCAAGCACCCCAAGAAGAGGATCCCATTGTGAATGCGTGTAGATGCAGGCAGATCTGACCCATCCCCCTTCAGCAGCCGTGCACCTCACTTCTTTTTTTTCTTCTCTTTTGAGAGTTGTTTCTTTTCGGATTCCACTTCTGTGTAGCCTCTTTTAAGTCTGGTAGGTGATTTTTTGGTCCTGGAAACTACCATTTTGTCTTTTGCTTCCACAGATTAATAATACAACAAAGAGACCAACCCTGGGTTGGGAACCGAAAGAAACTGGAGAGAAAAAGTGAGGAAACTGCTGGATTAGGTTTGCTAAAAGCGAGATAAATGGTGAAAGAGAGGGAAGAGAGCAAACATTTTCTTCTTGTGCTTCAAAAAAAAAAAACTGTTAAGTGCTGACTGCAAGGCTGTGTGGGTTCTGTGCTGGGAATGCCTTAGCCAGCATCTACCTAGAGGCTGGGAGTCCTATCCAGTAGGACTCAGGCATCCAGGTAAGTAACCATGCAGGATGGCGTCAGCCTTTTTTTCTACCCTATTGTGTGTTCTGCTCATCCCCATCTCTCCTTCAGCTCATTGCAAAGTATTTTGCCTCTTCACATCATTTGTTCCATGTTCTTCATTCCAACCTTAAGTCCCCTTCTCCCCTTGTTCTGACCCAGACTGTTTGGTATCTTGCTGTTTAGTCACTTTGACATCAAGATGGTGTAGTTGTGTTCATAGAGAATTTGGTAAAAGATGGTGCTTCATGATGGGCCTTTATCCTTATGTGATACATTACTATTGACCTTCTCGTGCCAGGGCTCTGTATTCCTCAGCATTCACACATTGGTTATATTGGAATCACGTGGAAATCATTTATGCTCAATGGTCCAGAATCAGAATGCCAGGAAGCCCAAATGCACTTAATCCTTCTACTGCTTATTTAGTGGTGGAGGAATCTGAGGTTTGGGAAATCACTCCATGGAGACAATAATCAGTAGTCATCCGCTAGTGTGTAATGAGAATTAAAAACCCACATGACTTGACAAGATCATTTTAAAAAAGCATACTTTAGTGAATAACCAACTGACTAGTCCAGAATAGGATTATTACAACCTAGGAAGTAAGTTATTTTTGAATTGTTTATTCAGAAATGTCCTGTCCTAGGAGTCACACCAGTGACTCTCTCAGTCTGAATTTTATTTTTTTTGGGGGAGGGAATACAGTGGGAGATAGATCTTCCAAAGAATAAATAACAGTCATTCCATTTTTATTTAACAATGCTTTGCCATACCTGCTTTCTTGTACCTGTGGGCAGTAGATTTACCTCTAAGGTTGTTGATGACTGATACCAAATACCTTTGCATTCTTTAAGAGTGGGATTAGCCCCATAGAAGTGAAATTTCATGTGGGATTATGCTTAAAATATTCCTCTTCAAGCTGCTGCATTAATTGACACCAGCTACCTCTCTCATTCCACCTCTTACCTTCTCCATTGTGATCACTGCCCTAGCTCCCTTAGCTTTACTGCTGTTTTGTGAACATGCCGAACGTACTCCCTTTTCCCGAAATACTCTTTTTCCAGGTAACACTTGTTCAGGTCTTCACTGTTCATCTTATTAGAGAGGACTTCTCTGACCACTTCATATTGAAATAGAGCCTTTATCATTTTATCTCTGTTTTTCTTAATGCCCTCCAGTACATTATCACCACTTGAAAAAATATTTATCTATTTATTTACTTGCTTCTTATCCCATTTCTCTCTTACCTTTTTGTTCTCTT